GGGAATGTAAATTTTTAGGAAGGAGTCACAGAGTCTCATAAAATCTTGGATTTTATAGAGGCATTTTTAATGTTATGTTTCCCTGGTGCACACAGGCATGCTTCATGAAGTGCATGATTAGAGGATACCAGGCCTTCTTTTCCAACATTTATGTTGTCCACTTAACTACAGATCAGTTTCCCGCACAATTTCTCCTATACATTGATTCAGTAAAACCGTCTAGTAATTTATCTTCTCCATTTCCTTTCAGTGTGGTTTTTTATTGGAAGGGACACCTCATCGCCCTGTATGCCCAATACCAAATTGTGTTTCCCTAAGATGTGTGGAGAGATGGGACAAGGGATGAAGGGAAAAATCGATGTGGGGGAATAGGCTGGAATACCTACCAGAGGAAATGCTGGGGGGTAAAGATCCACCCCCTGACACTGGATGTGAGGCCAGGATGCTATTTAAAAATCCCGCCCTCAGGAATCTCGAAAGAGACTTCACCCCAATGGTCGGAAAGGATCCTTTCAAAGAGATAAAAATGATCATTAATCAAATGACTTGTTCTTTGGCTGATAAAAAAAGTTGACTTTTTAAAGAAAGAATAATCAAATCTTTGCAAAGTTAACAGTGGTTTCACTGGAACAGATCTTATAAAAAGCAGTTAAAAGTCTTTGATTGCTTTTTAACCAAGACATACAACACACAGCTTGAACCAGAAGGAGATTGTTTTCTGCATACTTTGCAAATAGAGTATTCCAGCACTTCTAGGAGGGATGGAAAAATTTGATATTTTAAAGGCAAATTACACCTATTGGATGTTCATAATGCATTCCAAATGACTCTACCAGAGAAACATTTTACAGTTTTTTGTACAAATCAAAGACAGATCAGTAAGGTGAAGCTATACCAGCAAAGTTATGCTTTATACTAGTATTGTAAAGCTACCTGACAAACCACCTGATAAAAGTCATGTAAGGCAAGGGGAGAAGGGGAAACAGAATTTGCAGTTATATTACTGAGTTCCGGGTCAGGGCAGCTACGTCAGTCAGAGCTTCTATCACATCTCCCAACACCTGTCAATATAATGATGCAGGCAAAAGCCAGGAGTATAGACATGGCCCCTTTCTGCTTTGCTCTCATCAGAAGTTTTACACATTTTACGCTTTCAGTAAAACAAACTCTATGTTCTTCTCATTGCCTAAATGCACAGTTTTATTTCTAGAAACAGGAGTTATCTCACCGACCACTTTTAAAATAAGTACTTGTGACATATCTGTTATAGTGATGATAAATAGGGACTCTTTATCATTTGATCCACTCTTTCAGCTTTCAGCATAGGTACAAAGATCTAGAGGCATCATTTCAGCTAGCTCATGTTAGTGCTCAGTGAATGCCAGCTTCAAAGACAGATCTGAAACAGAAGCTCTACACATCTTGCTTAGAAGCACAGAGTCAAGATCGTCCCATCTTGCAATACATTTAAATTGACAGTCAGAATAATTTGTATATTTTTGCAAGTACATTAAGTAAGCATCAATCCAAAAATTTAGGCAATGGCAAGTTTGTTTTCATCATCTTGCAGGTATTTCATAGCTGTTCTTTTAAGAGATAGAAAATACCTTAATAATTACATACAATGAGAAAAATAAATGGTCTCCTTAAAATTTATACAACAGTTGGAATTTTTTTTAACTAATGAAAATGTAGTGAGGAAAATTTAGCCTCAAAACACAAATATATATTCACTGAACTTAAAGTAGCCTAAGAGAGCTTTGAATTTTTCTCTTGCATTTTCAAGCAAGAGTTCTATTGTTTCTCCTCAGTACATTCCTCACTTGCCCTTTAAATTTGTTATTAGACCTGCTGCAGTCTGTGGAAAAATAATTAATTTAATTAGTGTTCTGGATGCAGTATTTTTATACCTGATGGTTAAAGATAAGGCATAAAAGTTTTCCCTCTGGCCACTCTAGAAAAGCCTAACTTTGTGTGTCTTGTCAAAGTGTTTCCAAACTCCATGGCTTTCATTTTAAAATATTTTCCAAAGCGATCATGGATAGAGAGTCCAGAATGCAATACACAGAAATTCCATTTAAAATGGAAAATTGTTCCATAAACTCCAAGATGTTTGGTACTAAACAACATCTTAAAACATGAAGGTTAAATAATGAACATATGATGACTTCCCAAACAAAATTTTCCTTCTCTGTTTCAAAATATGAATTATACCAACCATAAAGTACACCCACTGTGAGTCACATGCCATATGTACAGATCTTCAGAAAAGCCAAACAGCTTGAGCTTCACCATTGACATTTTCCTACATTTAAATGGTGTTGAATGGCAAATAACTACAGTTTCCTAGCAGTGTAACAAATAAGTTACTTTGTTATAGAAAGGAATTGAAACAAACCCAAATTTATTTCACATATTGTACATATTCAGAAATAAAAACAAGGAGCAGCAAATTTTGGAGCAGTACAATTTGTAAATACTAAGAAGACGCCTCAAGTGCTAAAATTGTTGAGGCTTTATAAGCAGCAAATAACTAAACGGATGCACATAAATAATGTTCTTCTCTCGCTGAAAAAGGTAGGATTCAGTTGCTTAGGCATAAATGCTTTGTGTCATTTGAGACACTGTAGAAAATGTGAGACATTCACATTTGAGTGGCAGACATGACAAGATCTGCAGGAGATTTGTATTCTTTGAGAGTGACAGCAAGAGGCAAAGCAGCACTTCGGTATCTAAGAGTAGATATATAGTGCCATTTTAGGCAACTGAATCCCATCCAAACAGTCCACTGTCACCTTAAAAATGTCTCTGATTAAATAGGATATAGAGTTACAAGAATAGGACCTCATTTAGTCTTTTCTAGAAGTCCACAAGCAGCTTTGGAAAAGGATGAGGCTGATAACACTCAGCCCTGATCAGTATCCAGCAACATAAAGATGCAGACAAAAGACAGGTTGAAAGTCCATTCATGTTAAAACATGCAAGGTCCTAAATTAAAATATAGCATATGCCCCAGAATGAACAAATGGGTGCTTTTGATATTATCACCTGCACAATGTGAAAAGGGTTTGAGACTCTATTACATGTCTATATATGTGGAAGTTGACTATCGTTGCAGGTAGTTGGGAAAGCAAATTAATTCCCGTAAGTCCCATCAATCGGCACCAGAAGGACAGAGTTCTAATAAGAGCTTTCGGCATTTACAGTAACTTAGAAGCTTTACTCAATTTTTCACTTGTTTGCATAAACGTTCATGACATATTTGGAAGAAAATCAGCAACAAAACATTGTTTTCAAGACAGAAAGGGAGAAAGCGCTCTGCTAAGGCAAAAAAGAAGAAGGGACGTGGGAGCATACTATTAAAGAAAAAGCACCAGCTCAGAAATATTGTAAGCTTCTGTGAGGAAATCAATTAAAAGAATTGCATTTCCTTCTATCTGAACATGTTTGTTTGTTTTTTTTTTTAATCGGACAATGAAGATGTAGTCTTTCTTCTTTTTACAAATTGGAATCATGCTTAAGTAAAAAAAAAGTCCACCAAAAATGTGCCTGCTGCTTTATATCCTGCTGCTTTACACTCCAAATTCCAAAAGCAACATTAATTTTTAGAGGCATATGCTAGCAATAGTAATCTTAATGCTTAATTTAAACAATCGCTTTAAAGCAACCACACTGGACACTTGCAAGACGCTAGGATATTATTCCTTTAGCTAGCCAACTTTCTAGAGAAATGCCATTCTGTGAAGTGCGCATTGCACAGAGACTAGTGCTTTACACCCTTTCTGTTGTTCTGTGTAAAAATTAACACACATTATATTAGCAGTGGGCTGGAGTTACACTAATGGGAAGAGTTTTCAGTATAAGGTCTTACTGGTTCTAAACTGGGAAAAGGAGAGATGGATATTAAGCCGTTATTCCTGAATGCATTGAATTACAGCTGTTATTTAGTATCTTGGCATGGTTTCATTAAGAAAAAACCCCAACCTGTCCCCTTTCCATAGTTATACACTATGAACATCATGCCACCTTAACATGGAAAAATATGTTAGTTACAGATATTAGTTGGAAAAGTACATTGAAACAGTAAAACTATATGGCAGTACTCTGAAGAGCTGACAGTTCATGAAGTATCCACCATTTACTGAGTTCTGTGCTACTAGTTTATAACTCAGCGTAAATTCTTCTGTTTCACAATTATTACAGCTAAGTGCCTGTGCTCAGAGGCAGTGGGGGAGCGCTGAATCAATTAGCCTGCCTTCCTCCTTCATCTTTGTTCCAGGGGGAATATCATCCCACAAGTGGTAGAATTTGATAGGGTAATCACTGGTATAGCATCCTAAACTGGTGTGGCTTTAGTAGTGTACTATCAGACAGAGCAGAAGGGCAAGACTAGATAGGTGGGTAAAGGAAATAATTCTGCTTAGTTCAGCTCCAGAGCACATACGTTAATTCACACACATTTATTAGCACTTGCATTGTGACAGCATGCTGGAACGGCCATTTCTCCCGACAGCAAAGGCACATTCCACAGCCAAGGGCTAGCAGCAACCTAACTATGCTGAGGAGTCCTAGCTCTACAAAGGAGAGTGCTGAAGAGTCTTACATCTACAAAAGAGAGAAAGTTCTGACACGTGGATCAACACAAGTACCGGACTGATGAATGAATGGATAAATGAAGAAAATGGCACCAAACACACCCAGTGCAGTACTAGTAGAACACGATGAACCACAGTGAACATAAGTTCTGTTTGAATGGGGTGTGGAGGGGTCCTTGTAAGCTACAGTGTAAAAAGCAATTAAAAGGAACTAACTAACTTGCACCTTAAAACTCTCAGGGACTGCGCAAGCTGCGAAATGTTGACCTGATCCATTATTTTTTGCTGCAGAAGTCTCCAGCAGAAGACCCTCAGACTTTTTCAGAGAAACTGAGCACATTTTTATTCTGTTAGTGACAGCACATCCCCACTCACACCTGCTGACTTGAGTGCAAACATTCCCACCAGTTTTGCTCCCATGTGCAGTACAATGCCAGCGCAGTGCCGGCCATCCTCAGGGGCCCACATCCCACCCTTTGCTCTTCGCCAGCTGCTGGCTTCTTTGCCTTACTACCATCAGCAGCACTTGAGCCGATGCCACGGCAGCCTCTAGGCCCCACAGGACTCACAGGGATAGGATCTGGAACTGCTAAATTGTGCAGGTACAGGCAGGCAGGGCCATCAGCTTGTTCCATTTGTGCCAGGGTCCCTAGGCCATGCTGGGAGCAAGTTAAGAGCTTTTTTCTTTTACTACAGCAATTGTACTTGTAGGACTTTAGTGCAGCTTGTGGAGATTTGCTTTTGAAAAGGAGAACGTTTCTACAGTCTCTGCATTGTGTCTAATCACCTGGCTGAAGTAGGTTAGAAAGTCTACTGAAGATGCAGACTGCTCTTCAGCCTGATGATTTGTTGTTGTTTCTTGTTGGGATCACTCTGCACGGCTCGACCTTAAGGAGAAGGAGCTGTGGCATTGAGCTGCACGGTTCAACCTTAAGGAGAAGGAGCTGCAGCATTGACAAGCTGGTGAACAGCTGGATATCTGCACGGCTCGGCCTTGAGAAGAGGGAGCTGTGGTAAACAGCTAAGAAGAAGCAAGAAAAACAGGGACACCTGCAA